GCAAATTGTAAAAAACAGTGAGTTAAATAGCACTCAATTGTTTTTGATTTTACACTCAGAAAGTGAGCTTTCAACATTTTATTTTACATTTGGCACATTATTATCAATAACAGGCTGTAAATTAAAATTTTATCTGTAAAGTTTTCAAATGCAACAACCATAAACTCACACTCTTGTTGGCTCGCAGGGTGTGGCTGATTTTTCAGAGCTAGAACTCGGTGACATTTTTTATCTAAATTTAGTTATGTGTGATGTGGATGGCTGTGTACGAGTAGCTCTACGCTCAGGAAACTGTACCATTTCTTTTCCGCAGGACATTTTCAGAACATTCTGCAAAAGTGTGTTTTTCATCCAAACTGTGCGTGTTGATGGGAAAAAACAAACTGAGTGGAACTAAAAGCGTCAAATGCAAACAAAGCAAAAACTAAAGAGTAGAAGCTACTGGAGCTGACAAAKTGACAACTCAGCACATTCCTGTGCATGAGAGGTCCTCAAAATGTTGCTTAGTTGTTGTTTAATAATCCATGAGATGTTGTTCTAAATCCAAATTCATCTAAATTACAACAGGAAAATGCAGTTTGGGGAAAAAAAAAATCACAAATCATCGCTGTTAATGAGTCCACTTTTTCCATAAATGAGGATGGATCAGAACAGTAGGTCTGAATGTGGCCAAAGCTTATGGGCTTGTGAACAACAGCTTTAAGCTGTTTTAGTCTGAATTCTTTAAGAAGATACTTCAGATATTTTGAAGTTGGGTTTTAATGTGAGATTATGAACAATAAGTATCTAACCTGTTTTAGATCACTCTTTCAGCAGCATCAGCTTGGAGAAAAAACCTGATTAGTCATGACCAGAGCATCCAGATCACAGCTAAGACCAAGGCCAAATTCAACGAGGATCACAGCCATGTGGAGGTAAATGTATTTTATCTTATTTGAATTTGCTATCCTGATCCACACTTTTAAGCAGCTGGTGGCTGTTTGATTGTATTCCACAGCAAACAAAAGACAAAAAAATTAAGCAGATTATAAATTATGCTCAACAAAGTTGTCAGAAAGAAGGATTAAATCYAATGTCTGAAAAGACTATGACTGTATAAAAGTAATAATAAGAAACATAATGATAGCTATCAAAAT